CCCGGCTATTTTGAAAAATCCCCCAGAATTTAATTAAATAGGATGAGCGGAAAACAAAAAAAAATTCAATTCTCATCAATAATCTTCTTTATGTTTAAATAGAAATCGTGACATAAAATATACCTTTGTCGAATTCTGCAAACTCTTTTACTTGTTTTAAAAAGAACAACCACGATCTGCAATCCATAACTATCCAATTATTCCGCCTCCAACAAAAATCCACACGGAGAAAACGAATGAGAGAATTATGATTTTTCTTTTCTTGTGCTAGCAAGATAATGAGTTGTGTTATTTTCTTCTGAAACTCTAATAGCTTATTAATATAAGTTCAAGTGGGCTTGATCTGTCTCTTAAACTTAACTCGGTCCAATATTAAATTTATTAAATTTGGTCCATGAATTAATTAATTTGGGCATATTAACAAACAACTCAATTAATTAATTGTCCATCAATTATTAATTAATTAATTAGTGAATCTCATTCTTCTAGTTTTCCTTCTGTGCGTGCCCCATTAAATTCACGATCAAGATGTCTAACAACGCGAATTATTATTATTGATCTAAAAAAAAATCAATAAATTAAAATACTCCATTTTAATTTTTCATCAACTCAAATCTGTCGTCCTAGATTAACATCTAGTAATGTGTCGGAACAATACATGTGACGAAAAATGTCATGTCATATGACAAAATCAAACTTGTTCGTTTATCGTGAAACTATAATCACTTCGTCAATACGATTCGATCAATTATGAGATATGGATGTATGTCAATCTCGATTATCAATCATATATTTCATCCCACTATTAAGTCAATGTAAGTGGAAAACTCTTTTTCGACTTATGAGTACGCATTGGTCAAGGATTTCGTTATCAACTTAACTGAATTGAATGTGGACCATAATATCTTATTATCTAAGAGTGACGAATCCTCTATTGATCATTTACAACCTTCATATGATTCTTGATATACCCGAACGATGTCGTATTAGCGACCCTTGACATAGCAATATCCAACATCGCCAAAATATGATTGTCCTCATATAAGGCACTATGATAACCTCAAGTCGAAAGACCAATTCCACTAGCGGACGTTAGAGATTAACCACTGACACTCAAATAGTTATCCATGTTGAATCTTCCTAGCGGGTCTCCAATATTTTGTTCTATAACAAAACATTTTGTTTTTGTTATAGAACAAAACATTCACGATTCATTTAAGTGTCACAATACTTTAACTTATGAGATCAGCTACTTACTTCACAATTAAGAAACGTCACACGTGATGGTCTATCCGTAATAACGATATCCATATATTGTCATTACTTACCACGGATGATTTAAAATTTAGTCATTTATAATGTGTATTTCACAATCACAACTCATTATGATTAACAAATTACCAAAACTTGAATTTCCGAATTCTATTATTTAATTTATTAGAATATTTATNTTCTATTATTTAATTTATTAGAACACTAATTCAATTAAATAATAGATATGCCATAAATGAAATACATCAATTATATATTAAAAGTGTTTATATTCGAAATTGATTGGACTTATGGCATAGCATTCACAATTCACACTAAAATGAAAGTTCATTGCTCAAGTTTACAGCAAACAAAAATACTTATGCATTTTGGTCTCCATGTTGAATGAACAAGATTCACGACAAGTTTTCTTCATTCTACTCATAAATATGCTTACATGTCTGCTAATAATGCAACATAAATTTTAGGTCTAGCAGAGCAAAACTTTGCTAAAAAGTTATTTTTAAAATGCAGCATAGATTTTAAGTCTAGGAGAGCTCAAAAATCTATTCATAAAGCAGCACAAATATAAGTCTAGAAGTGCATAAATCTGCTCATATTACAGCATAGAATGAAGTCTAGTTTGCAAAATCTGCTCATAAAGAATTCGAACACCAATGGACAATGCATGCTCATAAGGGACCTACAAATATTTAAATGGCATGCGTAGGAAGTATATTCATACTCTTGCCTATTGGGTATATGCCCAAATATATTACTCGACATTATGTTTTGGACAAATAAATATTAATTTATTATTATTTGATATTTATTATAATTGCATTTAATATTTGAACAAATAAAATGTTTTATGATCATGAATATTATTATAAATTGAGTACTTCAGTACCATTAAATTCAATTTATAAAGTGATAAAAAAAAATAATCATCTATGGTCAGTACATAAAGTCAAACACTTTAATTTGTTAAAAATCATATTATCTTTATTAAAGTTTGTCTAAACTTTGATGATGATGATGATGATGACGACGACGACGACGACTGGACATGACTGTATAACTTTTAATATTGTGATGACCATGCAGAATTAATTGTTATTGACAATCGTACGTTCATATGGATAATGAACGGATTATTAACGTTATTTATTAATTACATAATCAATACCTCGTTACTTTGGGAATTAGAATTAACTAATTAATGATCATATTTTTCATAAAATGGAATTCATCGCCTATTTTTATAGGTATATCATTAAAACAAGTAATTTTCTAACTGACGTGTTACTGACGTGTCAAGATGAATTAATTATTGAAAAACTTCAATAATTTCAATTAAATTAAGTGTTGCTTCAATCGTTAGTGGATATAGTCATAATTAATTAATTAATCTTGAATGGTCAAGAACTGATCATTCAAAAAATTAATTAATTGGAGCTTAAATCAATTGTGTCCAATTAGGTCAATTCGATGGTTTCAAAATGAGAACTAGATTAAATAAGAGTTATAATTTAACGAGGACCACACGATTAAATATCTAGAATTAATATGGACTGAATACGTTATATTAAGCCCTTGTTTGACAAT